GAGAAACCCTATGTATGTAAGCAATGTGGGAAAGCTTTCAGCACACATAGTTCTTATCAAATACATGAAAGGATTCACACGGGAGAGAAACCCTATGTATGTAAGCAATGTGGGAAAGCTTTCACCACACACCGGTATTGTCAAAGACATGAACGAACTCACACTGGGAAGAAACCCTATGTATGTAAGCATTGTGAGAAAGCTTTCAGCACACACAGTGATTGTCAAATACATGAAAGGATACACACTGGCGAGAAACCCTACATATGTAAGCAATGTGGGAAAGCTTTCAGCACACAGAGTCATTGTAAAACACATGAACGAACTCACACTGAGGAGAGACTCCATGTATGTAAGCAATGTGGGAAAGCTTTTAGCACACGCAGTTATTGTCAAAGACATGAACAAACTCATAATAGAGAGAAACTATGTATGTAAACAATGTAGGAAAGGTTTCAGCACACACTAGGTAGAAAACACATGAAAGGACTCACTGGAGAAGAATCCTATGTATGTAAGCAAGGTGGGAAAGCCTTCAGCAAATTAAAAAACAGGAAAGGACACTGCATTGGATTCATGAACAGAAAATCAACAATGAACAATATTGGAAGTGTTATTTTTCTCATTCAAATTCAGGACAGTATTCACATGATAGGGAAGCCATATGTATGCAATAAATATGGGAAAGCCGTATTTTCACTGACCTTGACAATTAGGAAAGAACTCCCACTGGAGAGAAAGCCTATGTAAATAATGTGTGAAAACTTTTATGATTCTTATACCATCAGAAACCATACAAACTAAAAATGAGATTTTGTGTAAATACTGAATGTGAGAAAGCTAAGAATCGAGTGACAGACTGAGGTGTGTTAGGAATGAGATGCACTTTCAAAGCACATGTGCAGAGAGTCTTCCTCCAATATATCTGTGGAGTTTGAAATATGCACAATATTAAAATCAGAATAACAAGGCACCTTGCATCCAAGTCTTCAATACATGGTCTTTAATGGACATTTTACATGCAAACCATCCCCTTAGTTGTATGGGTAAAGTTTATTCACACAATGAAATTTTATCAAGTCTTAAATCCTTCATTTGTGACAATGTAGATTAACCATTATGTGAAATATCTCATGCATAGACAAAGCTTGATCATATTTTTTGCATCTAAAATGTACAGCTTTAAGAAGCAGACAGTTTAGTGATGGTTGGCACATGCGTGGGTGGGAAAGTTGAGAGATATTAATGAGAAAGCATGGTGTTTCTCTTGTTGAATACAAACAAAATGGCAAAGATCCCATGAGACTACAGTGATTGATGTGGTGCCCATGTAGCATAATTTGCCAAAAGGTTTTAGTGTTTTCTCCATATACCCAAAAAGTGATTGTGGTAGGTGATGCAAATGCTACCTAGAAAGAATGTAATTTCACAATATAAATAACATATTGCACTGTACATATTCAGTGTATGATTTTTTGTTGTTGAATGAAATGAATACAATTAAATGTAGCAAAAATAACATGACTGGTTTTATGCTGTGTCCACAGGAATCTCGTTTCTTTGATTTTTGCAAATGTAATTTAGCTTATACTGTATTTCTGAAAGCATTTAGTGTTTTAGTGAAATTTATACTTGGTTCATTGGAAATATAAAATGATTTTTGTGGCTATAATTTGGAAACAATTGACATTATCATTTCATCTTATTTTAACAAAGTTGTTATGTATGTGTCCAGAAAACTTTCTACATTTTAAAAGCACTTAATCTTATTTGCAGATTTAATTCACTAAACATGTTTTCAAGGTGTATACATTTTCCTACAAATGTCTTGATATAGCCAAGTAGTATTTCATTATGTATCAGCACTTGCTTCTTCCTGAGAAGATTAAGCTTATTCAAGCATACCCAAAAATTATTACAGAGGACAGAAAAGGAATGTTTAAGATGCAGTTTCTGAGGTCATCAGAGGATCAGCATAGAATCCAGTGTGATGGCACGTTTCAGTTTCACAAAGTCAGTACAATATATTAACAAATGCAATTCATTTCCCCCGCTTGCCACTTCTTTTCTAAAAAGACAGGTGTTTCAGCATGGTCACGTCTCATTGCTTAGCTCAAATACCTGACTTCTGTCAAACCCACTCCATTAACTTCACCAGTGAGTTCTACATTCTCTGAGTAATATAACCCTACTTGTCATTTTGCACCTTCCCCTACCACCTCAAGGTTTAATGTAGTAATATTATTGCAGATAGGTAAGTTAATTAGATATCTTGTATGCAGTTAGGGCGAGCCCAGAAGGAGCCAACAGGGAGGACAATGGACACATTCACTGAAGGCCAGAATTGTAAGAGGAGAGAAACTACCACACCCATGTAGGAGGAACAGCAGTGGTTGATATTCTAAATAGGTATCAATCACCTGGGTGGGGGACAAAAATCTTCCAAGAAGGATCCCTGACCCACCCCTTTCCACCAAAAATCTTTGCTCATTCCTTATATGCTTGCTACGTGACTCATTTCCCCATTTGATCCCTGTTTAATCAATATTACCTGGGTGACAGTACTTGTAATCTTATTGGTTGGTCATGGTTTTGTCCCACCTCATGCCCACCTTGTAAATTTGCATTGGGTCTTATAGTTTTGTCCCACTTTGTACCTGCCTCACCACATGGCTTTGCTGTATAAAACATTTTTGAAAAGGGGTGCGTGGGCATCCCACTTTCCAGTCCCCCTTCTGTCTCTCTTAGAAGCTTTCTTTCAATAAATTTTTCCTACTCTTAACCTCCGTTGTTCCTAGAATTCATTCTTCAATTTTAGGGAACACAAACTCGCATTTCTGATACCTAGCAGGTTTGGGAGTTACATCTCTTCCCCCATATCCATATCTTCACTGGCTTCTTTCAAAATGAAAACATCCCATTAGATTTTTAAGGGGCACATTTCACATCTGTGACCATTTTGCAGCTTTAAGACCTAATTTGTAATATTTATGCTGAAGGCACACATAATTAGCCTGCATATAGCAAGCACGTCAAAATTTTAAGCCTGCATTCAGTACCCTGTAAACATACACTTAGAACATGAGTGTATCCAACATACAGGTCTTTGTCCATGGATTATATTTAGAATATTTTAAAGGACCTTTTGGGGTGCACTTCTGATTGACTGGTTTTACTGATGAAGCACCTGAAGCTAGAGAAATTTAAAAATGTCTCAAGTTCTCATAGCTTGGGTTACGTGAAAAAGCTGAAATGTATGTGTGTGGGTGTGATTCTACTCTGTTCTGCCCCTATTTTGCTTTTCTCTGGCCTTATGCCATGATTCATCAATTGTTCTGTCCTCCAGTCTTTCCCTTGGTCTCCATTTATTCTGCAAAGAATTTTTTGTGACTTGATCTTATCATGTCCACCATGTACTCATGTTAGTATGGATCCTATTATGAGATGCCTTGGTATATGCACATCTGCTGGTTGAGTCAAAATATTACAAAATAAGGGAGAGGTTATGGCTCATTTCTGCCTCCTCTGAAAGCTCTCTAAGCTCCATGCCTAGCGAGAGTTGCAGAGTGAATGTTTGATTGCTGTAGAAAGGGTGATAGGAATGGAGAATACAATAATGAGAATTGGCTTCACTGACAGATAAAAAATATGGAACATGTTAGCTGGCTTATATACAAATGCCTTGAATCTTTTTTTGTGTGGT